CTTTCTGTGCCTCTTTAGAGGGTGAAAATAAAAATGGCCATGTCCCAATCTCCTGCCCCAGAGCTGAAAGATCAGACTCCTATGGTGCACACCTCCACTCTGATCCTCCCTGGGGGGGAAGGCAGAAGGACACCGATTTATACACCAGGAGGTGCACTTTGCAGGGCCCTGGCAGGGAGAGTGCTCACCCGATTGTGCTTGCACTCACCTGTCCCTCCTGGAGGAAATAGAGGGTTCTGTTTCTCTCCTTTACAGGGCCCTGGCAGGGAGAGTATTGGCTGGGTCATGTATGCACCTGCTCTGCCCCTCCTAGGGGAAGGCAGAGGGTTGTTGCATTCAAGTCCTTTGCAGGGACCCTACATGGAGGGTGGTCACCTGATTAGCCAGTTCAGGATTTATGGCAAACCAAGCTGACAGCCCCATCCTGGGCTTGCTAACCTAAATGGGTTTCCCCGCTCCAATGCTTGGAAACTCTGCTGGCTCAGGCACTCCGGTTTGTTTTTGTTTTTGTGACTCCAGAGATCTTGAGACTCCACTGTCTGGTCTAGGATTCTACCCCACTTTACCTGAGAACCCTTCAGGTAGGGAAGTCTCTTACTGGAGCGGATTTCTAAAGGTCCTGATTTTGTGCTCCAGGGCTAAATCACTTTCTGATAGTTGGATAAAGTAGGTTCCCTCCCCCTGCCCCGCCCCCCACCCCACCATCTGCCATTTCTCTTTTCTGTACTCCTACCTTGCAAAAAAAGTGGTCACTTTTCTATTTGTAGAATTTCAGTCATTCTTTTCTTACATCTCAAGTTGAATTCATAGGTGTTCAGAATGATTTGATAATTATCTAGCTAAATTCAGAGGAGTAGATGAAATAAGGACCCTTACTCTTCTGCCACCATACCTCTTCCTCCAGTATTAGCTGTTCTTAAATATTTGGTAGAAGTCACCTATGAAGACTTCTGAACCTGAGCTTTTGTTGGGAGTATTTGGAGTACTGATTCAGTATCTGCTGGTAATCAGTCTGTTCAAATTTTATGTTTCTTCCCACTTCCAATTTGATAGGTTATATGTTTCCAGGAATTTATCCATTTCTTCTAGATTGTCCAATTTGTGAGCACATTTTATAATATTCTCTTGCAATGCTTTATTTCTGTGGTGTCAGTTATTTCTCCACTTTCATTTGTGATCGAGTCCTCTGTCTTCATTTTTTAAAATGAGTGTGGCTAGAGGTTTATTAATTTTGTTGATCTTTACAACAGCCTCCTGATTTTATTGATCCTTCATTGTTTTCGTTTCTGTATCATTTATTATTTCCTTTCTTCTGCTGGTTTTGGGTTTTCTTGTTTGCTCTTTTCTTTCTATATCCTTTAGGTGTAATGTTAGGTTGATTTTTTGGGATTTTTCTTGCTTATTGAGATAGGCCTCTATTGTTATAAGTTTTCCTTTTAGCCCACTTTTGCTATATCCCAGAGGTTTTGAGAGGCTTTTATTTTCATTTCTATCCACCTTTTTATTTTTTGATTTCTTGGTTGACCATTCATTGTTTAATAGCATGCTCTTTAACCTTCATGTATATGTTCAATTTCCTTTTTTTTTTTTTTTTGTGGTTGCCTTCTAGTTTCATAGTGTTGTGGTCAGAGAAGATACATGGTGTGACCTTGATCTTAATTTGTTGAGACTTGTTTTATGGTCTACTATGTGATCTATTTTGGAGAATGGCCATGTGTCAATATGTATTTTTGAAAAGAATATATATTCTATTTTAGGATGGAATGTTCTGAATATATCTGTTAAATTCATCTAATCTAGTATGTCATTCAAAGCCACTGTCTCCCATGGATGGAACTGGAGGGTATTATGCTGAGTGAAAAAAGTCAATTGGAGAAGGACAAACATTATATGGTCTCATTCATTTGGGGAATATAAATAATAGTGAAAGGGAATAGAGGGGAAGGGAGAAGAAATGGGTAGGAAATATCAGAAAGGGAGACAGAACATGGAAGACTCCTAACTCTGGGAAACGAACTAGGGGTGGTGGAAGGGGAGGAGGGTGGGGGGTGGGGGTGACTGGGTGGCGGGCACTGAGGGGGGCACTTGATGGGATGAGCCCTGGGTGTTATTCTGTATGTTGGCAAATTGAACACCAATAAAAAATAAATTTATTATTAAAAAAAAGCCACTGTCTCCTTGTTTTTTGTTTGGTGATATGTCCCTTGATGTAAGTGGAGTGTTAAAGTCCCCAACTATTATTGTATTATGATTGATTAGCTCTTTATGTTTGTTATTAACTGTTTATGGACTGTTTATGGGTACTCCCATGTTGGGTGACTATATATTTACAATTGTTCTGTCTTCTTGTTGAAGCATCCCATTTATTATATCATGCCTTTGTCTTTTGTTAGTCTTTGTTTTAAAGTCTATTTTGTGTAAGTATTGCTACCCTGGCTTTCTTTTCATATCCATTTGCATGATGTTTCTCCATCTCCTCTCCTCATTTTCAATTTGCATGTGTTCTTAGGTCTGAAATGAGTCCTTTGTAGGCAACACATAGGGGGGGTCTTATTTTTTCATCCATTCTGTCACCCTATGTCATTTTATTGGAGCACTTAGTTATTTACATTTTGAGTAATTATTGATAGGTATATATTTATTGCCATTTTGTTACTTGTTTCATTTTTTTTTGTCCTTTTATCATCCTTTTCTTCTTTCTCTGTTAGGCACATCAAATAGGTCTCCTGCTCCTGAAAGTAATGGCCTTATGAAGAAGAGGTCCTGTAGTACCCTGCAGTGCATTGTCCCATTTACTAGAATCTGGGACACTTCAGAGGTGTTTCCTATGTAAATGTGTGCTCTGCTGCTGTGTCTTGGCCACTTTTTCTTTCAGTCCAGTTCGCTGCAATGGCTCTGTTTGCCTGTTTTGGACAAAGTTTGGCCCCTATGGTGTTAGTGAACCAGTCTGGGGTCTCCTTGGGTCTCGATTTAGTTAGGTCATGCATTTAATCGAGGTTTAGTAGCACCAAACTACAAATTTTGCTTTCTTGGTGGTATGCCCTGAGATGGTGGGGCCAGCAATTAGACTGACTGTCTGCCTATAGCCTGCTGCTGGGACTGATCATCTGACTGATATGTGTGGTTATCTTACCCTCACCTGAAGGCAGGAGTCACTTTGAAATGGTGCTGGCTCTTGTTGGGGCTATCTGTACACTGCCAGGCTCATGGCCCTGGTTTGAACAGGCTCTGGCCAAGAGTGTATTGGAGGAGGTGGAGTGTACTATGCTTGCAAAGTGTGCAAGCAAGATGGGACCTACCACCACTTCTGGGACCAGGCCAGCCCACGTGGAGTATATGGTGTTAAAAGGGTGCAAGCTGGTCTGCTTGTGAAATGAGACCTGCCACCACTGCAGTGGCAGGGACCAGGCCAGCCAAAGCAGATCTGCAAAGTGATGGGCAGGGTATGCACTTTAAAAAGTCGTCTTCTGGAGGTGGCCTGCTCTGAGATGAGAAACTCTCACCTAGGTGTTTTTCAAGTAGCTGTTTCTATGCTATATCTCCAAGGGCTGTTTGTGGGGCTCTGTAAGTTCTGGCACTCAGCTTCCTGTCACCTCAGGGCTCTCCCAAGGCCAGGTCACCTGAATTTTAAAACTCTAGGCTTTAAGTCCCACTGGTTGTAAGAACTGACAAAATTCAGCCCTTCTAGTTATTGAAGCCAAAGGTTATGCAGATTGGTCTTCCCTGCGCAGGTTCCCTGGTGTGATAGTTTGCTTCTTGCCCTTCTCTGCTCCAGCAGATCCCTTACTCCTGCGGGTGGTCCATGGTCCATCTAGTTCCTGGACATATTTCCGCCCTTCCCTACCCTTGTCAATGTGGCCTCTTTTCTATCTTTACTTGTGGTTTGTTCTGCCAGTCTTCAGGTCATTTTCTGGGTTATTTACACTGATGTGGGTGTTATCTAGTTGTATCCATGGGATGAGGTGAGCTTAGGGTCTTCCTCCTCTGCCATCTTCCCAGCTTCTTCACCTGAGATTCTATTTTAGACACTCTGGTTGCTGGAAGGATAGCTGTACTCTCAGGGCTGTGTATAGCACTTCTTCCAACTGTAAAAGCTTAAACACAAGAGTGTTTGCTATCAACAGGTGATACTGTTACTGCAGTTCTGACCTTCACACCAATCAGTTCGCCAAAGAAGCAGAACTGGTAGGAGATAAATATGAAGAGATTTATTGTAAGGAATTCACTTATGCACTTGTGGGGTTTGGCAAGGCAGGTCCTAAATCCACAGGGCCGGGCAACAGGAAGGGCAAGGCTCTGTAACTGTGGCAGGAGCCGAAGCTGCTATTGGTAGGAGGGTCATCTTCAGTGAACTTTTAGTTCTGCTTTTAAGGTCTTTCACTTGTTTGGATTAGGCCTACCCACCTTATCCAGGAGAGTCTCCATTAAAGTCAAACAATTATGGACTTTAATGACATCTACAAAATACCTTCACAGCAACATTGAAAAACTGGGGGCTTATGGCCTAGCCAAACTGACATAAAAAAATCCATCTTGCCTTCCATTTAGATTGATACACTTTTTGGCCAACTCCATTATCAACAGGACGTGGTTGGGAGAGCATGGTAGGGATGGGGGAACACAGGGGCTGGAAATGTAATGTGGAAATCTAAGGCATGCATCATTCAGCCTTTATTTTTAAAGGGTGACTGCTTTCTTTTTTTTTTAATAGGTATGGAGCTACTTATGCTCTGATGTGTTTATGTTGGAACAGTAATCCTAAATGTATACAAGAACAAGGATTGAATGTGATAGATCAAGACCCAATACATTTAGGAAGCCCCTTTGCAAGCCATGCAAGGTGTATAAGAGATCTCACCAAAGGCCTAGAGATGGAGAGGAGAAAACAAGACTTGGGTCACATAAAGATGGCAGAGACATGTTTTGGTTGATCCAGGTGATTTGGGCCCAATATAAGTAGTTTGTTTCATGGAGGGAGTCAAAGTAATCTAGAACAGGAATACTGATGTTGAAAGTCATTTTATGTAGATTTTCAGTGAATTGTCTGCCACAATCTGCTTGCTGGTATCCCGACACCTCTACAGAAACAAAGTGGTTCAGAGTTCCTGGGGAAATGAGGCAGAGTCAATGGCTGAGAAAGACACCAACAGTGGCAGTGTCGGTGTTCAGAGAGTGCTACCACTGCTCCATGGATCCCTACGATCCCACCTCCAGTGGACAGAGCACAAGAGGTGCTGCGTTTCTTCCTGCATCGTTAAAACCAGTACCAAAGAAAGGCCGCAGAGGTCCAGCAAAGGCACATTCAGAGAAGGTATAGATGAGGGAGCCATGGTCAGTGATGTTGTAGAAGGAGACTGTGTGGGCCTCACAGTCCAAGAAGATCCCAACCTGGCATGGAGGCACCTGAAGGTGGAGGGGAGTCTGGGGACAGGTGCCAGCCTCATATTTTTGTTTGTTCCACAGCCAAATTGTCCAGAAGCCGTTCCCAGGGCTGAGCAAAAAGTGCCCCTTCCTCTGTGCAGAATCTGTACAAACACCCAGGTCCCAGGCCTCTTTTCCTCTCACATCTACCTCCCAGTAAGCCTTTCCAGAGTCAAAGCACTGGGCACCCAGGACCATGGGATACATGTCAAATCTGCTTTCATTTTCAGGCACTTCCTGCTGGCTGTCTCCAAGCCTCACTTGTCTCCGATCCTCTGAAAGGATGAGCCACGGATTGGCTGTGTGTGGATCCAGGGTGATGTGTACTGCAGAGAGAAGCCCACGGTCAGGCTGGGAGAGGAAGGGGAAGCAGGAGCCCTGGGCCTGTGGTGGGGGTAAGGATGAGGGTGACCACGAGCCGCACTGTGGGAGAAGATAACCTTCAGGCCTGACCTTTGAGGGAACCACCTCTCTGCCCCTGCCTTACCTACCCTGGCCTGCCAGGGACTCACTCTCCTCCCTCATCACCCACTTCATTCCCCAGTCCCACACTCCTGGGGCTAGTCTCACCTCCATACGTCCTCAGCATCGTCTTCAGCCCTGGCACGAGGCACACACTCCTCAGACCAGGGGAGGTCATGTCCAGCTCCTTCAGGTTCCAAGCCTCAGTCCTGGGGCAAACAATTACAGACCTTGTCTCCATCTCCTGCCCCACCCTCCTGAGCCCTGACACTATAACCTCCTTTGTAGGTAACAATTTAATGCAAATTTATTAAGCACCTGTGTTAGGATCCTTGGGGGTGGGAGGCAAGAAGATATAGGACATAGTTCCTATCCAGGCCCTCCTGGTTACATGGGCCCCCTGAAGCCCCCTGACGCAAGCAAGCACATTCTGTTTCATTTTACAGGTTAGGCACCTGATACAGATGGAATTACTTCTGTAAGGAACCCCAAGGAGTCTTGCCCATGCAGCTGGTCTCACATGGCTCTTTCTGGGAGATTTGTAACCAACTAGATTCTTTTTAAAGAAAGAGTCCTAGCAGGCTGCAGACTCAAGATTGAACAGAATTTCCCCTTTTGTTGGGGCTTCACTTCATAAAGCTGTTATGGTCCAATTACTTTGGATAACTCACCAACTGATGTTTTCACTAATTAGCCTCAGACCAGAAAATATTTTATGGGCTACTGGGTCTTTGAGAATAGGGAGAATGGGGAAAATATCAGTGCATGTCTTTCTAATGCAACAGCCTTTTCCACAGGTATATATGCTTCCTGCTGCCCCCTCTTCTTACAAAGAAAACCTCTCCTTACCTTCCCAGGACACTTTTCACTTCCTGAGGAGAGAAAAAAACAGTGTAAATTCTGGATCACTGGTTTACCGTTGAGATCTCAGTTCTGTGGGTGAGGTGACGCTCCCCCTGAGGCCCTATTCCTCTAGGCCATTACCTGAACTATTTCTCCCAGCTTGGAGGAGAAGGAATGTGGATGTTTGTGGAATAACAAGAGTAACCAGCATGGGTGTGACCTACAGCCCGGGAAAGGATGACCAGTTTAAGGACTCTGATTCAGAAGACATATTAGAAAGCTCAGACTTTATGGGTAGAGGAGTGGGAAGAGAGTGGAAAGGGACAAGCAGCCCAGCCTGGCTGAGGTCCAGAGATAGTCACAGGGCAAGAATGGCCAAGTCAAGATGGACAGGAACTGCTCTATCTCATTTACAGGCTTGTGTTGTTTGGGAAGGAAGGGCTCTGTTTTATGCTGGAGTTAATGCTGCTCTCTCATGTATGTGAAATTAAATCATTTGAGCATATGCTGTTGTAGGGCTTGGGAGACCTTACCTGGGGACTGGCAGAGTCCTAGGCCCAGTCAAAAGTGTGTTAGAAAGCATGGCTCAGTGCTGGGCAGAAGCAAGATTTAGAGAATGAGAAGGGCAAAAACAAAAACAAAACAATGGCTTCATGACCACATCTGACACAGACACCAAAAAGGTTTGAAAGAGAAAAACTGTACAAGGTTAAAGCAGAAGGGACTTTTGAGACCCTCTGGTCAACAGTTTGCCACAACAAGGCAAACATATTAGGGGATGCAAGATAATTTTAAGTAGAACACACATCGATGAGTTTTTAAAAAATGCTTATTTTAATTTTAGCTCTGCCTCTTACTATTTGGGTGAACCTGGTCAAGTTATTCAGCTTTAGTCTCTAAGTTTCTCCACCTCTCTGCCCCTCTGTTTTCTCATCTATGAGACGAGGATAACAGCACCCATCTCACTGCATTGTTGTGACAGATCGAATAGACTGAGGCATATCATATGTGCTATTTAAGAAAGAGCCGTTGTCATGAAAATAGAAAAAAAAAATCAGCAACATATCAACACATGATTTCTTGGCTACTGTTGCTTAGGACAAATTTCCTTTTAAGCTAAATTTCTTTCAATGAAAGTGTAAGACAATGTCAAGAAAACAACATTCTGGGGCACCTGGGTGATTCAGTGGTTGAGTGTCTGCCTTTGGCTCAGGTTGTGATCCGGGGTCCTGGGATGGAGTCCCGCATGGGGCTCCCTGCGGGAAGCCTGCTTCTCCCTCTGCCTATCTCTCTACCTCTCTCTGTGTCTCATGAATAAATAAATAAAATCTTAAAAAAAAAAACAAAACATGCTAACAGGATTTGGGTAGTGCACAGAAGTGGCAGAAAGTGTGAAGATGATATATCAGTGACTAATGTCTGGGGAATCCTTGTTATTCAGTCCACTCCCTCCCCCTTGTTTCACAAATGGAGAAAGTAGGTCTAGGAAAAGGAACAAACTTGACCTAAAATTATGGAAAGGATTGGTGGCAGGGCTGGGGCTGGGCTACTGTCTTTTAATTTCTAGTGCTGTATTTTCAGTTACATGTATGAGAACGTTCCCATGGCCAAAGGCTCACGTAGAAGGTTTTGTGGTTTCTCTCATTTAATCCTCACAAAAATCCTTTGAGAGATGTACTAATATCCATTTAACATATAAGAAATTTGACTCCGAAAGGTTAGGAACTTTCTCAAGGTTGTGGGCCTAGTATGTGTTAGAGCAGGTTCTTGCTGGGGATGCCTGTTCTTTTCAATTGCTGCAAGGAATATTTCCTCCTAAATCTACACCATTCTGTGGCTTGAATGCAAACTACTCATGGGTCTGAATTCCAGGGACAGGGTTTTCTACTTGCTGTTGGCAGCATCAGGGAGCTCTAGCCATTTTTCAGTTCCTCCAGGAGCCTCAGAGAAGAGGGTGGCTCACCTGCAGCAGCTCTAGGGGTGAGCCCTTGCTCCTCCTCTCCAGCTCCACAACCAGCTCCTGCAGGGCTTGGGTCTTCTGGGCCAGCATGGCCTCTGTCTCCCCTAGGATTCTCAGCTGCTCCCTCTCCTCCACGTCTAGCCTCTGCATTTGCCTCTGTTCCTCCGCAGTCAGGAAGTTTATCTGCTGTACAAATTCTGCGTGAATCCTCCGTTTGTGTTTCTCAACCTGACTCTTTGGTGTCCATGGAAAGAGAGGATGATTTTGTCAAAATCCCCTAAGCCTGGAGAACGGAGGGGGTCATTTCCATTTCTATTCCCCGTAGACTCACCACTCTGGGTCTGAGAGCAAACATACACTATTTTGCTAGGGCAGGAAGTGGGTGAGGCTTCTGGGCTAAGAGTGAAATGGGATTATGGTGGGGCACACTGGGGCTGTCCTACAACCACAGCTGCATTGACCTATGTTATCGACTTTCTACAGCCTCTTTCAAAACCCAGTCTGCACCTCGATGTGCCCAAATCTGTCTTCATATCTCAGTGAGTTCCTGAGAGAGTTAACACCTGTCCCCATCCCAACAACCATCCAAACACAGGCTCATAACACTGTTCCCCAGGCCTAAGGAAAAGGAGTTTTGGGGATAATCTTGGCTGCTCTTCTGTTAGTGACTGGAAGGTCACTGATGGCACAGGATGACTCCTTTTGCCACCACAGCCTGACTCACCCTTCTCTGATCCCAAATCTTCTTTCTGGGCTCTATTGGCCATGAGTTCTCTCCAAGCCCTTACAGATACAGAACAAGCTTTATTCTCCATCCTACTTTGGACCAGTGATCTGAACACAGTCAGAAAAACCAGCATGACCAGATAGTTGCCTATGTCTGACCTGGATTATTCCCTTAAGTCTGTACCTCACAGCCCTTGTCATTTCCTGACAGGCCTAGCCATTGGGCATCTCTCCTGAGAGACCACTGACCAGACACGGAGGCAAAGGTGCTGTCATGTTTTAAGACTAGGCTTAAGGAGCAGGAGCTTTAGGGTATGGCTTGTACCTCTCCTAAGGGTATGGCACCTTCTCCTAAGACTCTTGATTTTGCTATCTGATCTGAGCTCTCTGCTTTTTATTCCCCTCTATCAAGAGACCTAGAGGACAGCTGGTTCATGGTGAGTGAGATATATTATCACTCCTCAGATGGGCATAGCTATGCTTAGGGTTTGAGTCTGGGGCCCTGGACTCTGCCCTGGCTTCTGACCTGAGATTCCCTTTGGAGCACAACACTTGCCTTCCAGGCTGCTCTCTTCATTGCAGTATTCACTTCCAACTCCTCAGCCAACTTTTGTTCTTTTCTCAGTTTCCTTAATGCCACCTTGAGCTTCTCCTGCAGAGAAAGGTAGGTTAGCGCCCGACCAGTCCAAGAAGTAGGGTGAGGTGCCATGAAGACATGCTGGTTCTTTGAAAAACTTGAGTGCAGAGAAAGAGGGAAGACTACAGTCTGATTGGGATAGAGATTCTGGGGATGGGAAGACTTTGGCAAAAGCCTGAGGTTTCTTACAAAACACAGCCACGCTGTTGGAGGTGGTGGTGTGGAGTTGGGAGCATTCCTCATTCCTAATTAACCAGAAGGCCACAAGGAAGTGTGATCCTTGCAGCGTTTTCCCAAGCGTACTCCCTGGTCCTGGGGAATGAGAAAGCTGTGCTGAGCTTGCAGTTCTCTGCTTCAATTAGACCTGGAAGGTGGGAGACCCCTTCCTTTTCCCAACCCTGCAACTCCACAGGTGACTTTGCCTCCCTCACTCTGGAGAACAAAACCCCAAGCAGGGACCCAGCTCCCTTCTACTTGGTCAGGCCTCTGTGCTAAGTCCTTACCTGGTACTCCTGAGCAGCCTCCTCGACAGGGACCGTTTTGTGGTTACGGTGGTTCTGGGACTGGGAACATACCCAGCAGAGGATCTTCCCATCTTCCTCACAGAACAGGTGCAGTCTCTCTCCATGTACCTGACACCATTCCCTCTGTGTGACTTCATTGGCATTCTGGCCAATTTGTTTAAGGTTGTCCACCACGTTAGCCAGTGGCCAATTGGGCCGGAGGTTTCGGAGCAAGAAGGTGTGCTGACACACAGGACAGACGCCGCCACCATCTTTCCCGACCTCAGAGATGCATTTGTGGCAGAAGCTGTGGCCACAGTCAATGCTCACAGGCTCCACTACAGGATCCAGGCAGATAGGGCATGTGACCTCCTCCCACATCATTGCCAAGGGCATTGCTGCAGCCATAGGGGTGATGTTCTTAGTAAGCAGCACTGTGGAGATCCTGGGGGTAGCCTGGTGGGGAGAGGAGAGAGGGAAATGAGCAGAAGAGAAGGGTTGTGTGAGAAGAAAAACAATCCAAAGGAAAACACGAGGAACAGTGAAGTGGAAGGGGTGAAAACAACACCAGAACATTAACTTGAATAATAAGAACTTCTCCTCTCTAGTCTCATCCACTTACCTAGTCAGACAGAAGGGGAAACTGAGTCCCCCAAAGAAACTGTGAATGTTGTTGAGAACTTCAGAGATAAAGCTGTTTATAACTCTATTTTCCTCATGGCCCTCTCTGCTTCATCCTCTGTCCCAGGCTTTTCCTGTCCATTCTCTGCCCTCTCAGGTCACCAGTCCGCTGCTGAGCAGCTCATCTGTATGACAGGGACCATGTACTCTGTACACTCCATAAGCCAGAGAAGGTGCTACCTGCTTTGAAAATATCTTCATTATCTGCACAATAATCACAGGAGTTACTTCTATATCTGTGATTATATACATAAGAATAATTTCTATATACCTGTCTGTATGTATAGATACCTGCAGGTATAGGTGTGCATATGGGGACCTGTGTAGGTTTACATGCACACATAAACACGTGCTTGAGCACTCCCTGGGCTCTCCTCTCCCTTCTGGGAACCTGGTAGCTGGCTTCATTGCCTCTGGGGCACAGACCCACAGGTTTCTAGCATCTGAAACTGTCCTGCCCCCTCTCACCCCCAGAGGAGAAGTGTCGAGGGGAGTGCCCGGACTACACTCCGGGCTGGGCTAGGTTTCTGCCCCGGTGCCCCCCGCTTAGCGCAGCGCCCCCGGGGGCTTGGGTGTCACGTTCACATTTGGGGCCCCGTCCCAGGCAGGCTGCCAGCCCGGGAGGAACTGCTGGGGCTGGGCTGGGCTGGGGCTGGGCTGGGCTAGCCCTGGGGGAACCGGGACTGCAGGCCCCAGGGGCGAGGACTAGATGGGAGGGGCCTCGGGTCCGGGGCAGGGGAGAGAGGTCCCCCAGCCAGGGCGGGGGCTCTCGGGTCGCGGCGAGTCACTCACCTTTTCAGGGCTTTCAGCAGCGGGCCGCAGGCTCCCTATTTCACTTTCGATTTCCCGTCAGGGGCGTGTCCGAAGGGGGTGGGCCGAGGGGCGGGGAGTGGGAGGGGAGGGTGGCGCGAGGGGCGGGGGAGCAGGCGGGGCGGCTCGGGAGCCCCAGGCTGGCAGGAAGTCCGAGCTCCGCAGCGTCAGGTCCTGGCTTCGCGTCCCCTCCCGGGTCCTCGGGGTCAAACAAGAAAATATCGCATCCACGATGGAGGGGTCACGCTGCCTCCTTGGACACTGGTCGTCGTCGCCCCACACCTACGTGCTGGGCGACGCCCACGAGTGGGAGCTGCTCTCAGGGAGTTAGGGAGGGAGGGACGGCGACAACGTGCCTGGAGCTCTCCCTTACCTGTCACCCCCTGCTTCCAGGAACAGGTCCTTTTCAGGAAAGGCTTGATAGTCTTTTAACGTCAGCTGGTGAGGGATTTATATACAGCGTGATCCCAAGGCAGGTGTCATACCAGTGAATGGTAAGAAGAGAACTGACATTTATTAGGCACCAACGGTGTACTTGTCACTGAGCTAGGGGTTTTCTGAGTTTTTTTTTTTTTTAAATTATGGTAAAACATATGTAACAAAATTTACCATTGTAACAATTTTAAGTATATAGTTCAGTGGCATTAAATGCATTCACATCATTGTATCACCAGCCGCACCACTCATACGACTTGTTTCATCTTGCCAAACTGAAATTCTGTTACCTGTTAAACAGTACGTTCCCTCAGCACCCAGCAGCCATCATTCAATTTTCTGTCTCTACGAATTTGACTTCTTTAGGTGCCCCCAACGTAAGTGGAATCATATAGTATTTGTTGTTTTGTGACTTATTTCACTTAAAAGGTCCTCAAGGTTCATCCATGTTGTAGCATGTGACAGGGTTTCCTTCCTTTTAAAGGCTGAATAACGTTCCAGTGTTTGTACATGCATTTCGTTTATCCATTCATCTGTGAATGGACACTTGGGTGACTTCCATCTTTTGACTCTTGTGAATACTGTTACTGTGTCAGGTTACATATTTAAGCCACATAACAATTTAGTGATTTAGGAGATGTTAAACTCACATTCCAGGAGAGGGCATTGAGTCTGAATGGAGTAAAATGACTTGAGACATAGTAAGAGGTGCATGAGAGTTAAAGGTCCAGGGAAGACCGTCATTTTAGTGACAGCCCAGAGATAACAGGTTGCCCTGTCAGCTCAAGCAGAGACTGTGAAGAGGAAGGAGAAACAAGGAAGGTTGAGGAGACTAGAATTCTCAATTCCTTCCAACTCAGACATATTTATTTTTGTCCCTGTATACCTTAAGGTAAAAACATCAGTTGAACTTTGCTTAATGTTTTCTACAGATTTAGGAAACCTAAAGATACGTCATCTTTCTTTCAAATTTCCAGTTCTGTTTTTAAGAGAATTTGTAAGTGGGTGGTTATCAAGTGACCTCTAATATTCAAATTGTATCACTGTACTGATTTGATTCCAGGAGCATAGTCCCAGAAAGCAAAGTGGAAACAGTACAAAAAAAAAATCAAAGGAAGAAGAGACCTATATATGAATTTGCAGACACTCAGAAAATGAGTCTGCTTCACATCACTGCCCTCGCTCATTCCTATAGGCACTGAGTAAGCCAGCTGGTGGGTGTGGTAGAAAAGAACATAGACCTCATGATAGGGCAGACATGGATTCAGGGCTAACCCTGCTATTTGCCAGTCACATGCCATCTCTCTGAGCTTCAGTTTGCTTATCTATTAAAGATATTAATACACAAACCACAGGGTTGCTTCGGTACATGTTTAATAATATACATACAAAATCGATTAATATAACACATGCATGCTGCAACAGTTCCCACCTTGGTATTGACCATAAAACCAAAGGTACCACTCATTCCAAATTCCCTTCATTCACTGCCAGTAGGTTAGTACTTCAGTGTTCTTTTCCTGATGAGTCATCCAAATCATTCTTGAAGGATCAGTATCAATGTCCCTGTCTTTAATTCACTGGCCATTGTCATCAGACAGTCATTACTAGGAATATCTCCAATGTATATTTTGGGTTTTAGGCATAGTCGTTATTGCCCCATTATGTACCAGCCACTTAAATTCTCCTTGGTAATAGGAATAGGTCACTCCAGTCAATATAGAAACCCCATCCTCTGCCTATTTCATCAGTGGCTGCAGAAGCCCCATGGAGCCAGGGGATAGTTGTAAATTCCAACTTATTAGAACCAGGTTTGCTACCTACTCTGGTAGAAGGTCTTCTCCCAGACCTTAGGGCTGAGCCTTATGTTAAGGGATGGAAAGAAAGTGTTCTGTAAAGGAGTTCCTAGTCTGATGGTGATAGGGGCCACTTCTACCTCCCTGCCCTAGATTCTCTGAAGTGTGTGTATATATAGTGGATATGAAAAAAAAAAGCCACCATATATTAGTTCATTTTAATCACTTACCAGAATTTGTGGGATAACCTTCCTATCTCATAGGATGGGGTTTCCAAACTGGTATCATACCTGTGTCTTCAGCAGGGCATTTCATAGTCTTATTGGGCTTTTTCTGGCTGATGGTATACAGTATGAGACCTCTGCATTCCATAGGACAATCCCATTATCAGAATTCTTTGATTGCAAAATCAGTTCCTCGGTTGCAGGTGATGTTGTTGGGATGTCCTGATGTTGTAAGTCTAGAAATGGTGGTGCTGGCAGAAGCAGTGTAGGAAAGTGAATCTGTCTTTGGAATATTACCAGATGTTTTGTGAGGACAAACTGCTGTTGGTTCAAGACAACTAATGTGCCACTAGAAGACTGTCTAGATTCTCCTAGAAATAGTGAAAAATCAGGCTCAGAGTTGGCCTTTTATGTATCTGTCCAGAGCAGCAGGGGTAGAGACTCTACCTGAGTAAGGGTTTCCCCTCACTAAGGCTTCTCTGTTTACTTCTCCTGATACGGACTCTTGTATGGGAGCCCATTGAATGGCAACAGGTCACTGGGGCAGAGGCTGATCAATATCCACAGGTTGGGTCATCTTGTTTACCTGGATTATTACTAATTACAATTGATGCATTTAGAGTCTAGGTACCTGGCACAGGGTATCTAGTTTAGTCATAAGGGGTTTAAGCCCTTTTTGTTACCATATAAAGTGATCTTAACCACAGTTCTGGCAAGCCTTTATTTCTACATAAATAAGGCCAACTCTTCTTAGTCTCAACTCAAATGCCATCTTCTTTACATAAAGACTTTTCTAGTCCTCTCTTGTCTGTTAGAGTCCATTTTAGTTTTCACATGTGCTTTACTTTCTTTCAGAGGCATAAATTGCTACAGAATAGGATTGGTGTCTGATTACTCTCTAGGTAAAGCACAGTGAATAGAGGTACCACAATATTGTGAATTATTTTAAAGACGATTGGGTAATGTAGATTTTATTTTATTTTATTTTTATAAATTTATTTTTTATTGGTGTTCAATTTGCCAACATATAGATTAACACCGAGCGCTCATCCCATCAAGTGCCCACCTCAGTGCCATCACCCAGTCACCCCCACCCCTGCCCACCTCCCCTTCCACCACCCCTAGTTCATTTCCCAGAGTTAGGAGTCTTTCATATTCTGTCTCCCTTTCTGATATTTCCCACTCATTTTTTCTCCTTTCCCCCTTATTCCCTTTCACTATTTTTTATACTCCCCAAATGAATGAGACCAGGAAATACAAATCAAAACCACAATGAGATCCCAACTCACACAAGTAAGAATGGGGAAAATTAACAAGGCAGGAAACCACAAATGTTGGAGAGGATGCGGAGAAAAGGGAACCCTCTTACACTGTTGGTGGGAATGTGAACTGGTGCAGCCACTCTGGAAAACTGTGTGGAGGTTCCTAAAAGAGTTAAAAATAGATCTGCCCTACCACCCAGCAATTGCACTGCTGGGGATTTACCCCAAAGATACAGATGCAGTGAAACGCCAGGACACCTGCACCCCGATGTTTCTAGCAGCAATGTCCACAATAGCCAAACTGTGGAAGGAGCCTCAGTGTCCATCGAAAGATGAATGGATAAAGAAGATGTGGTTTATGTATACGATGGAATATTACTCAGCCATTAAAAACAACAAATACCCACCATTTGCTTCGACGTGGATGGAACTGGAGGGTATTATGCTGAGTGAAGTAAGTCAATCGGAGAAGGACAAACATTATATGGTCTCATTCATTTGAGGAATAATGTAGATTTTAGAATGAATAGAACAGGGAGCAGTCTCTCACGAAGAGGTGGAATTTGTCTTAGGTTTCATCCATCTACTTCCATTTATCATCTTCCCTCCCATCCCGGATTTGAGAGAGAATCTGGCATTTTCTAGTTTTAAGGCAAAGAACACATCCTGGAATGCAAAGCTAGAAAAGCTAAAGAAATAATTTCATCAGAAAGATGTCCATATGTCAACATAGTTAATCCATTAAAAATTATCTCTTTGCCTTTTAGAGCCTGAAACACAAGAACCTGAAAATTTTCTAAAATTTCATTGGATGAATAAAAGTAGTTGGGTGATATGTATAGGAAAGCGTTGTATTGGGGTGCAGCCCATGGAGGACAGATTTTGACCTCCGAATTGGGAAACCCACCAGAAAAACCTTAGGAACTGCTAATGGCTTCAGACACAACCTTGAAATGTCCTGTTTTCAAATATGCAGGAACATGGAATGGAATAAAGAGGAATCAGGACATCCTGCATCATAACCTGTTACCTCTACATTGTCTTCTCCATGCTGGAGAGAAAGGAAGAGGTGATGGCTGAAGTTAGTGAATTAAATCCTCTGACTTTTACCAAAATAACTCATTTTTCAAGAATATCAAGGTCATGAAAACCAAGACAAAAAAAACTGAGAAACTGTACAGACCAGAAGAAACTAAGGAGACAGGATGACTAATTGCAGTGTGGGTCCCTGCACTGGATCCAGGACCAAAAAAATAGATACTAATGGAAAAGCTGTCAAAATCCAAATAAAATCTGGACTTTAGTTAATAGCAATGTACCATTATTAATTCCTTA